ACTACGTCACCAACTGATATCGATTGTTTATTTTTCCCGGAAGTACGATGTTGTTCACGGAGAGAAATTAGGTAATCATGTCTCCATCTCTTACGGAAGTCTTCTATGATTTTAATCTAAATTTTGTGGCACGTTGTGTAATGTTCCGTTGTTTCCCAAGGCTCAAACTTAGGTCCGTTTCATCAACAGTGTCATGATACGGTAATGTAGTAATGCGTCTACCATATAAAATATGAGCTGGTGTAAATGGTTCTCGTTTTGGACGTCTGCGTATGTAACGTAGGTACGGCCTAGAGTTTTCTTGAGTGCTGGCTTTGTGAGTCCAATCAGCCTTTCCCACCATCCTCCATACCAAGGTGCACGCTTAGGAATGAATTTCCATGTGGTACCATGACTGGTAAGTGTGTCATGTACATGTCGGGACTCGAACAAACGTGTTATATGGTTGGATTCAGCCATAAATGTTGAAGCATTATCAGAGATAATGACATGTGGTAAAGATTTTCGGCTGCTGAATCTTCTAAATGCTTGTTAAAAGGAGTCTTCTGTCAAATCTGGCACGAGTTCTAAGTGCACCGCTCGTGTTGAGGCACACGTAAATAAACAAATATATGCCTTTGTTTCCATTCCGTCTTTAGTTCTGACATAAAATGCGCCTGTAATGTCTACACCTTTCACTGTAAATGGCACGGTATCTTCTACTCGATATGTAGGTAACGGAGGAGGATCTGGGGGTGAGTATGCTTGGCCAACTACCTTCCGGCAAGTGACACATTTTCGAGAATTGTCTTTACACATTGACGAATAGCAGGTATCCAATTCTTCTGTCGTATATAAGTAATTGTAAAATTTACTCCAGCATGTAGTATTTTTTGATGGTAATGAAGTACAATCAAACGGGTCAACTTATGTTTTGATGGTAGCAGGTTAGGGAATTTTGAACTCTCGACCAGTGGGGCATTGTGAATTCGACCTCCGCAATAGATTCCGCCATCGTTATGTAAAAAAATAGGCGAAGTTGTTTAACAAGCTGTGAGCTGGATTTACTTAGTCTCATGTTGCTGATCTCTGCTGGATAAGAACTTGACTGACAGTCTATTAGCCATGTTTTCTCAGCTTGTAGTAATTCATTTGGGAGCAGGGGTTCGGGTCTCTTTTTTGAACTTTTGCTGTTTTGTATGAATCTCATCACATATGCAGTAACACGTAATAGTTCCTGGTATGAACCGAATCTGTCAATATCAATAACTCTATGAATGCCTTGCTCGCTAGTAGTGGTAACAGTACTGGTGGTGCTAGGGTCTGAACCGGAAGTGTTGGTTTCATGACCGGAAGCGTCATATAAGGAAGCAGTGAGCACTGTTGCATCCTTTGAATTCCATGTAGGCTATTTCGATTGATTGTTTATCCAGGATGGTCCATATTGCCAAAAGCTGTTATTGACAAACTGGGCCGCTGTTATACCACGGGTAAGTAAATCTGCTGGGTTATAGTTGGTTGGACAGTATTTGCATTTCCGGTTCCCGGTCAGTTTTTGTATTTCTTCGACTCAGTTCTGTACGAAACGGGGTAAAGTTTTAACTGTTTCTTACCAATGTAAAACAATCTGACTATCTGACCAAAGATAGAAATTTGTGTGTTTTAATGTCTTCTTTATATGGCTTAAAAGTCGAGCACCTATTACAGCTGCCAATAATTCAAGTCGAGATAACGTAAGTTTTTTAAGAGGTGCCACACGATTCTTTGCCATAATTAGTGATGAATTTTGACAATTGAAAAGGTAAGCTGCAGCTCCATATGATGACTGGCTAGCATCTACAAACACGTGTAAGGTAGTATGTGAATGGTCGTCTGCTTGTCTAATTTTCTCGTCTGCTCCGGGAAAATAACAACGTCTGTATTGTGTGGTGGATAGTGTAGTCAAATCTGCAGCAAGATTTTTCCACATCTTTTGTATATTTGCTGGATGTGGAGTATTCCAATCAAACTTCTCTTCCCAAATTTGTTGCTATATAATCTTAGCACGTACCATAACCTGACTAAGTACACCAAGAGGCTCGAGCTTCCAAAATCTCTCAATATCAAAGGAATCTGGGGAGGACGTAAGAATGTTCAATAAATGGGTGGACGTTTCTTGTGAAGGAACTAAAGGTTGTTGGGATGTCGACGCTGTAAGTTTGGAAACCGGAAGTTGGTGTTGCCTTGACGCTTGAAAGTTGGAAACCGGAAGTGGACCGGATAAAAGATATCCAAGTCTCGACTGCACCGCTGTTGGACCATTCCCTCGGACTACCTTATCTTGAACAATTTACCAAATTGAATATGAATCTGCTCCAATCAGTAACGATATCTCAAAATCTCTGTCATTTGTAACTGGATGAGCTAGCTTTAAACCATGCAAGTATGGAAGGGCAGATATATTCTGAATAAAATTCGCAGCGGTACTATCAAAACATCAATGCATATTTTCTCATTGTCGTCTGTAATAAGATGTATAGAACATTTTCTCATGTGTCGTACTCTTTGGCTAGTATCACCAAACGATGCTTAATGAACGACTTCACTTCCGGTCTGCTTAATTTATAGTTTCTCCGCTAATTCTTCAGTGATAAAAGGACGCTGAGCTCCCTCATCAAAAAGAATGTTTGTTTCCAATGAAACGATGTAAGAACATATCTGTGCAATGGTTGTCTTCAGAAGAACGGCATATCTTAGCTGAGTGGTAGAGTGTAGAATTGCAGCCTCGGGTTGATTTGAAACACCGGAAGAAGCTGGTATGGTGAAACTTGCGGCATTGGGATTTAGCTTTGAGTTTGATTGCTTTGCAGTTTTATCACAGATAATCGAATGATGTTTGCGCTGACAGAGACGACATCTATTTGTGGAACGACATGCCGATACTTGATGTTTCCGTAAACAAACACAAATGTTCTCTTTTAACAATATCTATACGTGATTCATTTGATGTAAACTTTCTGCACTCGTTAGGGGAAAGTTCATCATTACAAAAAGGACAAAATTTCTTGAAAGTTTTCCGGGAATCGACGTCTTTCTTACGTTCATTTTAACGTTCATTTGTACTTTGTCTGGTTCCAGTATAGAATGACGCTGTGGGAATATGAACATCAGGTTCACGGTTGTTAATATCAGAAGTAGAAAAACCTGCTTTCATGAAAGAAATTTCTTTATAGATAGCTGACCTTAACTCTTGTAATTCCAAGTTTACACTGCCATGTTCACGTGCCATATTTTGCTTCATTATGCCTGGAAACTTATCTCAAATTATTGGTATTTATAAGTTACCGTAAGATTCCTGTGACTGCCCAAGTGATTCTAAACCTCTGATAAAAGTTTCCATTTTATCATAAAAACATTGTTAACTTACTACATTGTTGCTAGGTCTTGGAAGTTCAATCAAGGACTGCATGTATCTATGAATTATCTTCTGTGGTTGTCCGAAGCGCTCCCTTAGTAGAATCAATGCCTTTGAATAGTTCGCATTTGTCAAAGGAAACCCGTCTATACACCGTGCTGCTATACCTTGAACAAGAGATCGCAAGTAGTTGAACTTCTGAACGTCCGATAACGTAAAATTCAGATGAATAGATGACTCAAAAGAGTCTGCCAGATGGCAAGATCTCCGTCAAAATTAAATATGGTAAGTTTTGGGAGTTTATGTTTCGCAAATGTACTCGAACTCGTATGTCGCAGTACCATAGGGTTGTCATCCTGATCAACGGAACTATTGTTTGTAAAATCTTGAGTCTGCTTCAGGTAAGTCTCGCTTAACTTTTGAATCCTCAGATCCAAATCGTATGAATATTCTTCACTTTCCACGATTTCTGTTTCAATATCGTCACACTGATTTATGATTTTTTCATTCAGTCCTTTAATTGTCGCAGCTTTCTCTGTCAGATAATCTTTGAGTGATAAATTTTTTAGCGACGCCATTTCCTCATTTTGATCAATTGCGGCTAATTTTCTCTGCACAATTCGGTGATGACCTTCTCTTGTTGAAATAAGCTTTTGTAGATTCATGATTAGTCAATAGCTATACAAACGGCACCAATGTGGAAGCAATAATACAAAGGCGTTGTGTAGGTTCGATCCGTATTGACTCTCGATTCAATGTGTACAAAATATCAACAGTAATACATCAACAATAACAACATAGGTCAGAAGTGACGTTGACGTCAAATAGCGCGGTAAGACGTACCGTAGATAATAGCGTAAATATATGTAGTTATCTTGTGGACAGTATAGTAAGTAAAACGATCAATTTCTGGATAGTAAGTCACAGTAGGCATGGTGACATATATTTACATATACATTTGTCGAAAAAAAAATATGGTTATTTAAGGTACACTTCTACGTCTAATTGTTGACGACTATAAATACAGACAACATTTCCTCTACGTCATTCATTCTATGTCCTCTTTGCCAAACGAATAAATAATTTTGATAACCTGTGCCGGTTAGTTTTTGCTTTTGCTGTAAAACAACTTCCCTTAGCACTTGCAAGGGGTGGGGATGCATTAGCAGTGTGGTTTCGCTCATGTACCGATAACTCTGACCTTGGACAGAAGATAAATTTATCTTTTGTTCCAACTTTGACCGACCTTTACCATATCCCAGAAGTTTTGTAATTGTAATGGCAGTCCATTTTGAAAACAATATAAATTATGTTAAGTATATGTTAGCAATTTAAAACTCAATTACAGCCCATCAATCTCGTTATTTTTATAGACAGATAAATACATCACAATATGCCTTCATGTTATTTTACGTTATACGAACAAAACCTATCACCTTTAAGATGTATTATTACTTTTAGATGTTTAGTTTCAATGCATATGTTATGATCACTGCAATGAAAAAAAAAACTAACTTAAATGATATTTTATTTTGGTGATCGCCCCAAAATGTGTTTATATACATTTCATTAGTTTGTTTTTGTATAGATTACATTTAGTGATATTATATCTGGTTTCTGATTTCAGTTTCTAATGGATTTGGTCCGTATCATAATGGTTCCGATTTTTCAACGGTCGACCATGATGAAGATCACGGTTCTGGAAATTGTGCTGTTACTTTTAAAGGTGGTTGGTGGTATAAACACTGTTTTCAATCAAATCTTAATGGGAAAAAAACGACAGTCACTCTTGGGATTATTTACAATAGCTTTATTAGTTCAACGACATTAATAGGAAGCAGAATGATGATGAGATCGAGTTGCCCACGTTGAATTTATCACAGCAAAGAAATCCGAGTTGGAAACAATAAGTGTCTGCAAATAACACAACAATATAATGATATAATATGATTATATTAACAAAAACAATAATAGAACGACCAATACCATGAGCATCGAAACCACAACAGCAAATACAGAAACACTTTTATCAATTATTTAGTGTTTTTGTCACATCTGAGTTTCCTTATTTAAATATATCTAAATTAATATTAATTAGTTTATACAATCAAGTTTTATTACGACAAACATCTCTGCTACGCATAATGCATATATTTTACTTTGTAGTCTTAATTTCTCTTACTTTAAAAACTTGTTTTACTTTAAAAGATGTTGAGGTTACAATTTAAACAGAGAATTAATTGATTGATTTGTTAAGGTTAGCGAACTCAACTTAAAATTTTAATAAATTGTACAGTCTGCAGTTGTGTAACCTATTATATTTTAACGTCCCGTCTTGGATTGGTGCCCGGAAGAAATAGCCACACACAAATTGAATAAAATTACTTTTGATCATTCGAAATAAATTACAGTAAATAAAGTTAAGTGCATTTTACTATTTTTGCCCCATTATATATAAGATCGAACATTCACATTCGTCCTATATTAGTGAATGTAAACTACAGATATTTGTGTTTATCTAGTGAAAACTATTCCAAAATATTATAAAAAATGCAGATTATATAATTTACCTTCTATTTATTTTTTAAGCTACTTTCCCCAGAAAATCTGACTTGAGAAAAATTTTCAAAAGATTTAAGACAAGTTAATGACAACGATAGAAAATTCTACGAATGATTTACATTGTCTTTTAAATAAATGACTTATTTTGCAGAAAGAAAATTCAAAAATATTTCAGCTTTTTTAATTTTGGGGTTTTTAAGGGCCCCTATACTTGAAAAACTTTTGAAAATTTTAAAACGTGGATTGTAAGTGCTGTTTGAAAAAATAAAAAATACTTAAAAATTGTCCCACCATTATAATTTGACTTATAAATCCAATTTTTTCCAAAAATTTTATGAACAATTATTATGGAAAAACTGGAGGCGTGCTGCTTCAACAACATTGCTTTCAAAAATGTGTTTCTTTGAAATTGTAATGTGGTATTATCATTTAGGTAAAGCCTCCAACCAGTTTGCACAAACACATTTAAAATCTGATACATATCAATATAATATCTTTGTCTCGCATCAGAAAAAGTATTATTTATTTGAAATAATTGACATGTTTTCTATTGATATAAATTAGAATAGAGCTATTCAAAATTTCACTGAAAATATTACACTGAATAATTTTAATATAACTTTTCAATTGTTTGTCACCCTTTGATTACTGCATTGCTTTTCAGTTTTCTTTTCAGGGTTTCTTTGAAATTGTGATACAGTTCTTTATTGGCGTAATCAATCTTTCAATTTTTAGGGAAATATGTATGTTTATAGTACATTAAATCACAATACCAATTTGCTGCAGTCAACACAAAAGCTTCATCTACTATGAAAAATCTAGTTCAAAGACAATATTATGTATATCTGTATTTTTAAGTATTATGTCGGTTAAGAAAACTGAAGTATGTTATGCTCTACTGATTTGTTGCAAATACAATTCAATCGTAAAAAGATTGATATATAAAGTAGTTTGTCAGAGATTTTCAATAATATATATACTAACGATACATTGTATAAATTATTTAGTTTAAATCAAATCGTTTATCCCATCTTATAGTTGTTGCGATACGATTTATGATATGGATAATATGATCTTGCAAATTGTTTCAGCACCAACCTGAGTCCATATTCAAAAAGTTTGCACTGAAATATTGTACAGGACTAAGTCTGACTGACTCAGGTTTGTACAGAAACAATTTGCAAGGTCATATTATCCATTTTGCTCTCGACGCTTAATATTTATAAATAATATCACTCTAATTAACTTTATAGTTACATTTTGTTTTGTACGAGTTTGTCATTATTATGTTGTTTTGTCATTTTTGTTTCATTTCAAATGATTTCAAATATGGTGCCGCATAATTAAACAGTGGTAATAAAGGAAGCAGATAACTTATTAAAATTTAAGAGACGATTAAAAATACAAATAATTCAAAAATAAAGGGCTAACACTGCTGGGGATAGAGCAGAACCTTTTTATAACAATTTATTTATTTATATCCAACATTTGCCTCAAATTCTATAATAGTAAAATGCTTTGATAATATCACACCAGGATTCAAATATTTTTTTTAAAATATTTTAACACGTTTTTATTGGAACATGAAATTTAATACACGTACCAAAAGCCATACTTTAATGGACAGTTATTTCTTAAAATAGCCATTTTTACGTCTGGTCAAACAAACCAAAATCAACCATTTAAAAGAGTTTGAAAAGTTAGATAAGTGTCAAAAGGTTTAATATCTTTTTTGAGGCATTGGCGCAATTATTCTTTGTTTACTATTCATTTTTTTCTTTTCCTACGAACTGATCAATAAAACACATACAGCATGTTCCTCATTGACATCATTTTGTAATAATTTAATGATTTATTTTCGTGAATTCGCACTTTTTTACGCACACCATAATGATAATTTTAATTTTTTTTATTTCCCATCATCGTCTTTAAGAAAATTAAAGACTCAAGGACTTAAAGCACACCAATATTTTAAATATTATTTTCAATACTAAATACTGCTACAAGAGTTTGCATGTCACTATTGTTTTCATTGTTGTCCGTTTTTGGTTGAGTCTACATCGCACCAAAACTGTAAACGTCACATGGCCTAACAGGTGGAGATAGAATACCAAAAAGTATTCATCCGTGCGTTATTCAAGACTCGTTTTATTGTTGTTAGCATGCATCTCCTTTAGAAAGACATGTCAGGACACCAATCACTATGAAACTAGTAGTTTTGCTTTTAAGAAAAAAAACGACTATATAATAAACACGTGAAAGATAATGTGCGTTAGCGCATTGTGTATTTGCTCGTGCCAATGATAAAAGCTTATATTCGGAGCTCGAGAAAAGAGAAAGAAAAGAAACAAAGAACAAACAAATTAAAAAAGACCAAAAGTTACCCATGATCACCCATATATATATACACAATACTGTCAACATAAAAAAGAAGAAAAAACAAAACAAAACGAAAAACAACAACAAAAAACAACAACGACAAAAAACAAAAACAAACAAATGTTGAAGAGATACTATTAGTATTATGTGAAAGTTTAATCAATGAAAACATAAAGTTTAATTTACAATGAAGACTGTATATAGACAAGTTCTTTGTTTGCGTAGCGTCAGTGGAAGTGTTCCATTTGAATCAAGAAGTACAGTATGTACAAATAAGAATGCAATAACAGCAACGCGTAAAACGTATATTGGAGAACGCTTTTTAAGTTCCATTACGTTGATAATTCCATTAACCTAATAACTGTATTCCTAGAAACCATCGCGCTAAACCTAACAATATTTGGGGTTTGTCTTAAGGATGGCGTTTTCGCGGGGACACACTTTCGCGCAAATATAAGTGACCGCGAATTTCACGAATATAAGGTCGTATTATTACTAATATCACAATAACGTTTCTGTATTTGTTTTTTCTGTACCAGGAATACAAGACTAAGGAATACGATATTGACAAAATCTTTAAATTTTATCTTTGTAGGACATAATTACCTTCTCTGACCAGAAAAATGAATATGCATTCAAAATACTTTTTACTTTAAATAATGCTATTTGCATTTAAAATCATAACGTTGCGTTAAATAAGAACCTGTTTTATGATTGACCTTAATATTCAAATCTAAATTCTTTGTTTGAAAGGATAATTTTTAACCATTTAAAATCTACCGGAAATGCTTATTAGTAATGATATTATTTGCTATTTGTACAAACAATAACACTGTAAATAACATGTACGAATATTATATGACCTTATTTAATCTGCAAATTATGGAAACTATAAAAAAGCTAAAACGTTTTGCAAAGTAATATTTTACCTTGAAATATGTATCAGTTGAGCGCAAGTTAATGTAATGCATGCTACACCTTAGTATATAATAATGACATAATTATAATCCTAATTATCGAAGTTACAAATGTTCCCAGATTTGTTACGTGCAACTTTTTCGAGAATACAAAAAATCACAGATTAAAATGTATCCACAGCAAAAAAAAAACGCTTTCGTTACTTAAAAAGCGCGGAGTAATTTCAAGGAATACAGTATAACACAAGAAAAGCATTGACGCAAAGCATCAAAGGCGACGCAAAAAAAAAATTGATCAAGTTTTGCACCTAAATACTTAACAAAAGATGTGTACTTTATAGCAGTACCATTACATGTGACCTGGAGGCTAGGTCCAGTTTGAATTGAAACTTAAACCAAAAGGGATAGGCCCTGTCTTGCCAAGATGCAAAGACAATGTTTAGTCAATAAACAAATCACTAATAAGAGTAATGCCATAAGAGAGAATTTCTTCACAGATACAAGGATACCTGAGTCACCAGCATATAATTAAAGCTTATTACGAAGGGTTGCAGACATATCATTGACATATATTAGACATAACAGAGGAACAAAAATGAACCTCAGGGGAACACCATAGGTACTCGGAGCAGAAGTAGAATGAGTACCAGCCAAATCCAACAGCTTGAACCATGTAAGAATGTCATTACCTACGGCAGATGCTAAAAGTTTCATGAAGAAGAAGAAGAACTTCTTCATGTGCAGTATAATGTGATCAACTGTATCAAATGCCTTTTGTAAATCTAAAAAATCATGCATACAATACTGCTTTTGGCCATTTCAAATTTTATACAATCTGTTAAATGAATCAAACATGTGTCAGTTGAAAAACCACTTCTAAACCCTGACTGAAACTGCTTGACCATGACTCAAACCCATGACTGTCAGAAGATCAACTGACCTATCCGGCCGGCTACACATTTCCTCTTTAATAATGAACAGTTCTAAACCACAACATATTTCTCCACTATATTGATTTGTATCCTTAAATTGCTGATGTTTACAGATCATAGTGAATTAAATTCAGGGTTATATGCAGTCACAGGATGAGAAAAACTTTTAACTTGTCCTGAACTCGAATCTGTGACCCACAAAATAATGTAACTCGGCTGTAGCGATTGAGCTATCTGGCCGCTTACACATTTTCTCCCCTAAAAAAAGAACAATTCTTAACAATGATTTTTTAATTAACAGGTAGATTAATTCATAATTAAACAAATAAGAAAAAAACATACATACTCATAGTCTTAATCAAAATAACAATTTATTTATTGTATAATTATTTTAACTAAAAACCGGCTTATACATTTATTGGTTGTGCCATAATTCACAGGTCAATTTGAAAGTGAACATAACTGTACTTATACATGTCCAATATCTATTTTTTTGTAGATAAAAACTAACCTTTTTTCTTTGATAAGAAATTTTATGGAGGCTAATTTGTATTTTTCATGGGCAAAAACATGAAAATACAACAAACGAACCACTTTGTGGTAGATTGTATTTGAATCATGTTTTCATCTGGCGCCCGGTTACTTTTTGTACTTTGTCGGTTTTCATGTGGCACATATCACCCACTATAAGATTTAGTGCACAAATTTATTCAAGTGCAAGGAACAATCTACTTATGAAAAGTCTGTAGAGAGGTTGACTCTGGATACCTGGAGGTTGAGACCGGTGTCC